TCCACAATTTGAATTCAAAATATTATACTTGTGCCATGCAAAATAGTATTTTTGCCCTTTTTTAGTATTTTAGGTATTTTTTGTATCACTATGAGATTTTTTGGTTTTTTATGTATGTATAAGTAAGACGACTACAGCGGAACATGTCGGTTCAATAAAGCTTAAGATACAGTCCACTCAAATCGGAAATAAACCGTGTTTATTCTTCACCATATATTTGGTCATTCGAGCCAGATCGAGCAATTGATTAACATGGATCAATTAAAGCTTTTGAAGGCAGCAAGAAGCCGTGCGAAGGCAAGTATTACGCGCTTGCTAACGGCGTCACAAGATCCACGTGCGGGATCAAACTGGGAAATTGATGAAATCACAGTCTCATTGGAAAGGCTCAACAACGTTTGGAAGGAGTTTGAGACCATTAGCGATCAAATGGCCCTTTATGAAGAAAATGAGGGGTATGTCGATCCAGCCATCGACAACGAGAGATACGAGGATAAGTACTTGCAAGCAAACACATTGTTTCACACCATCAAACGGCGCTGTCAATCATCTAATGAGAGCGACAGAGAAGGCAGCGGCGGTAGGCAATCTGGCAACCTTGGCGATGCCGCATCAAGTTCATCTGGATGGGGAAACGAAAGCCTGGCTCGTTTTCTACAACAACAACAGGAACTGAATGAGCGTTTAGCTGAGCAACAATCAACGTTTTTGAGGGCAAACTCGGCAGCAAATGTAATGCACAACGAACTGCCAAAAATTCACATCAAAGTGTTCACTGGTGACTACAAGGAGTGGCCAGCCTTTAAAAACATCTTCGAGAGTACGATCCATAGCAAGCAGCATTTGACAGCAATTCAAAAGTTCCACTACTTAAAAACGTATATTACGGGAGAAGCATCTGATTTGATTCGTCATATGCCAATAACGGATGCTGCGTACGAGGCTGCTTGGAGTTGCCTAATTGATCGATACAACAGACCACGTCACATTGTCAACACTCTGCTGGAAACGTTTGTGAATCTCCCTTCGACATCCAAGGCAGACGTTACAGTTCTGCGCAAGGTGACCGACGGAGCCACGGAGATTGTACGAGGATTGGATGCAGCAGGGCAAACTAACAGGGACTGCTGGATCATACACTTCATTCTGGCCAAGATCGACGCTGAAACTCGACGCAAATGGATTGAGGGAAGCCGGGAACTTGAATCTCCGTCTGTGAATGATTTACTCAAGTTTTTAGACCGACGCTGCGAGGAATTCGAGCTCAGCAAAAGTGACTCGGACATCGACTTCAAGGGTGGCCCACAACCAAGCAAAGCAAAGCGTTCGTCACACGCTTTAGTATCGATGGAAGAAAATGCTTGTGCGAAATGTAACTCCAAGGAGCACAAAATCTACGGTTGCCCAAAGTTTGCTGAAGCATCCATCGAGCAGAGACGCACATTTGTTAAGGCAAAATCATTGTGTTTCAACTGCCTTAAGCATGGGCATGTATCACGCAAGTGTGAATCCAAATTTACATGCAGGTTTTGCCATAATCGCCACCACTCTCTCCTACATGTAGATATTTCTGGATCGCAAGCCGCTGTGACCACGACACAGCCACACACTGATGAAAAGCACATCTCAAGCGCTCCCGAAGAGGCTGCGGGGACCATCAGCCATATTGCTCGTGCGCAAGTGGCTCCCACAGTTGAGTCCTTGTGCAACGGATCAACAACGGCTACACGGCCCCAAGGGCTAAGGAAAAGTGCATTGCCAACAGCTCTGGTGTTTGTTAAAAACGCACAAGGATCGCACACTACATGTCGGGTACTTTTGGACAGTGGTTCGGAACTGTCGTACATCTCAGAGAGGTGCGTACAGGCACTTGGTCTGTCACGCTCGCCCTCACGCATTTTGGTGTCTGGAATTTCATCGATCAAGGCAGAGACAACTAGAGGCTGCAGCACACTGGACATGCAGTCAAGGATCTCCGATCATACAATGAAGGTACGTGCACACGTACTCAGCAAAATTACCTCCACGTTAGCAAGACACGATATCGACGCCTCAGCACTCAAGGTATTCGCTGGCTTTGAGCTTGCGGATTCTAACTATCAATCGTTGGCGCCAGTCGATATTCTCTTGGGCAGTGATTACGTTTGGACCGTGTTCACCGGTCAAAAGATGTTCGACGTTCAGGGCAACATCATCGCCATTTCGACCATTTTTGGATGGGTCATAACATCTATCATCACTACCGGCTATTCATCCACAACAACAATGCACACGGCTATTGACATTGACTCAACTCTTCGGCGCTTTTGGGAGCTGGAGGATGTCAACCAGGAATTCCATGGAAAACCAGAGGACGACGAAGTTGAACAGCACTTTGTGAAAACACATTCTCGGGACTCAAAGGGGCGTTACATCGTCGAACTTCCTTTCAAAAACTCCAACGAACAGTTTTCGGATACATTACAAGGAGCACTTGCAAGATTCAGGGGTGTAGAACGCCGCCTAAAGAAGGACCCCGATCTGCACTCACAGTACGTACAATTTATGCGTGAGTACCTACAGTTAGGTCACATGCGGGAATTATCACCAGGAGACATTGACAAAGGGCCAAATTTTTACTTGCCTCATCATCCGGTAATTACCCAAAAGCTAAGGGTAGTATTTGACGGCTCATTCAAGGATACGTATGGAAAATCCTTAAACGATGCTCTACACATTGGACCCAGCATTCTTCGAAACCTCTTCTTGATTTGTATGCGTTTCAGAATGTACAAGTTCGTCTTTTCAGCAGATATTGTCAAAATGTATCGACAAATCTTTGTGGCTGCCAACCATTGTTGCTATCAGCGTATTGTTTGGAGAGAAGACGAAAGCACACCTATCAAGCACTATGAGCTTTCCACGGTAACATACGGCACGTCTAGTGCACCATTCTTGGCAGTGAGAGTCCTGGATCAGTTAGCTCACGACCACCAACACGAGTTTCCCACAGCTGCAAGGATCTTGAAGGAGCAATTTTATGTGGACGACGTACTGACAGGAGCACACACAGAAGAAGAGCTAATTCGCAATCAAAAAGAGCTGATCCAATTAATGAAATGTGCAGGCATGGAACTTGGCAAATGGGTTTCCAATTCATCACGTATCACTGACCGAGCTACTTCTACAACCGAGGTACAAGACAAAGGATCCAATCCTACAGCAAAGGTTCTTGGCATTCATTGGAATCCAGAAGAGGATACGTTATCCTACAAAGTTTGCCTTACACCAAACCCGGACAACACCAAACGCCAAGTGCTTTCTGACGTGGCACGCATCTTTGACCCGCTGGGTATTCTGTCGCCAGTGGTGGTGCAGCTTAAAATTTTGTTTCAAGAATTGTGGTTACTGGATCTCGGCTGGGACACGGAGCTTCCTCCAAAAATTACTGACTGGTGGAACAAATGCCGTAACGACTTATACATACTTCAAGAACTACGCCTGCCACGATTTGTAGAAAACAATGGGGATCACATCGAACTGCATGGATTCTCAGATGCCTCCATTAAGGCATATTCCGCAGTCATCTACAGCAGAGTGGTACGAGCAGATGGCACCGTATCTGTTTCACTCATAGCGGGAAAAACCAGAGTAGCTCCGCTGAAGCAGCAATCCTTACCGCGTCTCGAGCTCTGTGGCGCTTTGCTACTCAGCAGACTAATATTATCAGTCAAGGATTCTCTGCAACACAAGAACATCAAAATACACGCATGGTGTGATTCAACCATAGTTTTGGCTTGGCTTTCACATCCACCATCGAAGCTCAAAACATTTGTAGCAAACAGGTCTTCAGAAATACTCGACGCGTTGCCGCGCAGTTCATGGCATCATGTAAACACAAAGGAGAATCCGGCGGACTGCGCCACACGAGGAATGCTTGCTGCAGACCTTCTCCATTTCGACTTATGGTGGATGGGACCTTCATGGCTGCAAGATCCAGAAAAGCTTTCGGTAAAGTTGAGCTGTACAAAGTTCCGTTCTTCCCTTTCAGATAATCCTGGCAAGGAAGAAGTCAAGTCCACCGCATTAACCACTCAGCAAGGCGGCTCATTTTCACCAATCGAAGCGTTGACTCAGCGGGTCTCGTCCTGGACAAAACTGGTTCACGTTGTAGCTTACGCATTACGCTTCATCCAAAGGACCAGGGCCATTAAAACTGTAGCGCTGACAAATGGGGCAAGACTCACCTATGAAGAGATTCAGGCTGCTCGCATTCTTTGCCTGCAAGAGGCTCAGAAATGCTTCATGGAGGATCGTAATCTTCTGGCGGAAAATAAACAACTTCGCAGCCGCTCCCAGTTGATCAAGCTCTCACCGTTTGCCGGCAAGGATGGCCTCCTTCGAGTTGGTGGACGCTTGGGCAACTCACAATTACCAGCTGACGTCAAACATCCTATATTGCTTCCGAAATCGCACCGCATCACAAGGATGATTTTGGAACACGAACACATTGCAAATCTACATCCAGGAGTGTCTGCTTTGTTTGTAATTACGCGTCAAAAATATTGGATTTTCGGCGCGCGTAACCTAATAAGGAACCTGGTACACAACTGCATAAAGTGCTTTCGCCAACGCAATATCACCGAGCACCAATTCATGGCCGATCTACCAGGGATTCGTATAACGGAGGCTCTACCCTTCCAGCACTCAGGCTGCGATTACGCTGGACCATTCATCCTCAAGGAAAGGAGAGGGCGCAATCCCCGAAAAACTAAGGGCTACATATGTCTCTTCGTCTGCCTTGTAACATCCGCCATACATTTGGAACTGGCCACCGATCTTAGCACAGACACATTCCTGGCATGTCTTCGGCGTTTCATGTCCCTTCGAGGAAAATGTTCGCAAATCTTCAGCGACAACGGCACGAATTTTGTTGGTGCCAAACGGGCTCTAGATGAGATGCAGCAACACCTATCTTCGCAGGAGCATCAACACACCGTAACTCAATCGTTGGCTAATGATGGAATTAAGTGGAGTTTCATACCTCCCCATTCGCCACATTGGGGAGGGAAGTGGGAGTCATCAGTACGTTCAGTTAAATTACATCTGAGACGCGTTGTGGGAAAAGCCGTTCTAACCTTTGAACAGATGCAAACTCTGATTGTTCAGATCAGTGCAGTGGTAAACTCAAGACCGTTATGCTACACACCTGACACTGACCTCACCTACTTGTCTCCGGCCCACTTTTTAATTGGCCGCCCATTCACAACAGTTCCAGAGGGTGATCTAACTCATTTGCCGATCAATCGCTTAGACTACTGGCAGCATTTACAATCAATGTACCAGGGCTTTTGGAAGCGCTGGCACCAGGAATATTTAACATCGCTGCAGCAACGTCAAAAGTGGAACAACAAGGAACATAACATCGCAGTCGGCAATGTAGTCCTGGTAAAGGACTCAAATCTCCCACCCGCAGCTTGGATTCTCGCCCGTGTATTGGAGGCTCATCATGGACCAGATGGACTTGTACGCGCTGTGAAACTTAAGACGTCTACCGGAGAGATGACGCGACCCATCACCAAGCTAGCTTTGCTGCCTAATTCAGAAACCATGTTTCAGGGTGGCCCGGGATGTTGATGAACGGAATGCATCCACAATTTGAATTCAAAATATTATACTTGTGCCATGCAAAATAGTATTTTTGCCCTTTTTTAGTATTTTAGGTATTTTTTGTATCACTATGAGATTTTTTGGTTTTTTATGTATGTATAAGTAAGACGACTACAGCGGAACATGTCGGTTCAATAAAGCTTAAGATACAGTCCACTCAAATCGGAAATAAACCGTGTTTATTCTTCACCAATTAATTTGGGAAACTACAAATATGTAGTCGATTTATCTCCTTCTTTGCAGTTTATTTAATCAACATTTACATGCCTAGGAATGTCATTTATAAATCCCTTTGTTACAAGGCTTTCAATACAAATCTTCTTCCATTAATTTGTGTACGTCCCTTATAAGCCGCCTCTTTTAATCCCCTTTAATTACAACTCTCAATCCAATTTGGTCCTCATTTAATACAATCCTTATTAATTAATCGCCGCCTGCAAATGAATTCGCTCCTTTGAAGGCTTCCTCTTCACTTTCCCCCACTTCACTTCACAATTCACTTATTCGCTGCTGTTGTTGTTCCTTTGCAGGATCTCCATGACTGCGGAGCCCCATGTCATGCCATGTTTTTCCCGGAGAGAGAAAGGACGGTTCTCCGATATTGGGTTGGATCCTGGGCAGCGGTCTGCGTTGCCAGCTGCTTGTTTACGGTGAGTGTTTATTTTCCATTTTATGTAAATATTTAAGATGCATTGTTAATTGGACTTGACAATGGGGATCTGATTTTACATAATTTAAACTCTTTCAAATAATAATTTTATAGTGAATATACATTAGAAAATCGTATCTTATACCAAATATATTTTAAATATTTAATATACTTTTTATCAGCATTACCAAAATTTTTATACTATGTTTGCAAACAAAACAAACTTTGTGCAACAATAATAAAATAATAAAAAACTCTTAGTAATCTAGTAAACGAAAGCTTTGCGCTAAGCTTATATATCTCTGAATCGTTTTTATTTTCCCTAAAACATTTAATATAAAAAATTAACTTATTGAATTTTATCCTGGGTAAAGTAATTGAGAGACACAATATGTTTTAATAAAATAAAAGTATTTGAGTTCGTGATATATATAAAAAAGAGCTTTGCGGGAGATTCACATATCTATGGTATCCTAAAGTGTACTTAACAATATTGTTCTTTATTGGTTCCCACTCCCACCTTAGTTTATCCTTGACTGCCAGAGTGCTGCCATATTTTCTTTAATGCTGAAAGTAAACATCTTTCACGGGGCCAAACGAGTGAATCCCGCCCCTTCAGCAATGCTATTATTCTGGGGCAAGGGAGCAATGCATATAAGAATGTAGAACGGAGGCGTTGGCACTTAAGCAAATCCCACGCATTGACATATTACCTGTCAGCGCATATTTTTCAATAAACTTGGCAAAACATATGCAGAAGCCATCCCATCAAGGCCACAAAGCCCCTCAAACCCCTAAGACCCCGCGAACCCCCAAGGCGTTCTTGGCAAGCAGGATACCTTTGATGGAGTAGGGATGTAGGTGGCATATAGGGGAATAAAGGGGACAAGAAAGCTCTGGAGTTCGCCTTGGCATGTGGCATGTGTGAAGGCGGCTGTGGGAGGACAAATGGCAGAACAAAAGCAAATTTCAAATATTATTAGAATTGCCCTTTGATATTTCGGAATGTCCTGGGCATGCCACGTCCTCTGCTCCCTTTGGTTCGACTATATTCGAATGCCTTCAGGATGGATGAGCTCTGAACTAATATTGGAAATAGTTCTCGCATTGTAATCCTTGCCATTCTGTGTGCGAGAGATCGAATTGGAAATGTGGCTGCCGAAGGAGCGAAGATGGAAACGAATTTAAACAGTTAAAGGTTGCAGGCCAAGGTCAAGGAAATATGACAAATATACGGGAAATTGGTGGCCTATGGATTATTTATGGATGTTTAAACCTTTCGGAGTCAAAGTAAAGAAAATGTAATTCAGTTTGAGGGAAGAAGGGATAAGGATGTTATTAAATTTGTTTCGAATCCGCTTAGTAAATAAAGTCTTAGGGATTTTTAACCTAAATAATTTAAGTCAGTATTTGTTTGGCATTTTTCCAACTTAAATTTTCATTTATTACCAACACCATTTATCGCGTACTGCTTAACCATTTCCTATAACCATAAATCAATCAATTGACTTGCCTAATTATCTCATCTCCCTGGAACTATTCATCATGTGAAAGGACCTGAAAGGGATGCTCTGTGCCAATGTCTCACTCCATTTCCTCCACCACTTTCACATATGGAAATCAACTTGTTAGTCAGGCATTTTGCCCCCATCAGCAAATGTGTTTGTTTTTTGTACACTTTGTTTCTTTTTGTTCATATCCATCAAGCGAAAAAACTGACAAAATTTGAATAAAAAATCAATTTAGGTGCTCTGGACAGGTCACATGACAGGCACTAATCAACAGGAGAAACAAAAAGTGAATATGATAACCGTGCTTATAATTCCCAGGCAATCAGGCAGGGGAGAAATAAAAGGGCGGAGATAGGATGGGAGCCCCGAAAAAGCACATCTATCAAAACTGGAGAGGTCCTGACTGACTTGCACACACACACACACACACAGGCACACACATCATAAAGTTGCGCTTCATCCATCAACCCCAGAGAAATAACGGGCTTTTTTTGGGGCCTTGGGGTGGAATTCCCCCTCGGGAACATTGTCACTCACATGGCGACATGTTTTGCATGCTGTCTCCTCCGATTCTTTTCTCTTCATGTGATAAATTTTTGCCATTGCATATAATTTGTCGCCCATTGTCGGCGCCAGATATGGCCTCCCTTCGTGGGCGTGCCATATCAGTGCAACTCATAACATCAAAACAACAACAAATTCTATGCAAATGTCGAAATTGTTTTTCCAGGGCCAACGAAGACTTTCATTTGGTAGCTCGTTCTACTTACTTTTTACGATTATGATTATGTTCTCTGAGTGCTCTGCATCTCGCTTTCATTTGCTGGGTTTTTGCATTTTTCACGCATTCATCAGTTCCTGTATATGTTTTGTTATTTTGTCGACTGCAACATTTTCTCTATTATGATGATGAAAATATTCCAATTCCCTCACGTCAGTTTATTTTATGTATTCTGATTGATTCAAATGCATGAAAATCATTAAAGGGGAATTGATTGCATTTAGTAATTTTTTCAGTTGGGAAAATTACTGAAAATATATCTCTTAAAAAAATAGATTTATATTTCATTTTTGATAACTGTCATATTCTTAATTGTAAATTTAAAGATAAACTTCTCTTTATGCTTTACAAGTGTTGTGAAGCTGTTTTAAAAACCCTCATACCTAAGATAAATTCGAATGTGTAGCTTCCATTTTTGGTTGGCTTTAAAAAGTTAACCCAAATAAGCCGTTATAAGCCCTGGAAAATGTTTTTCCTCTGGCACACACATTAAATATTTGAATGGCTTTTTATGTTGCTTCCTCTTCCGTTTGCCATTTTCCCCTGTTTATGTGAGGATGTGAATAGTGCTCAATACATCTCAATAAATTCCCCATGAAATGTGGGTTATGTTTGTTTGTTTGTTGATTTTTAAAAACTTTCTCTTTCACTCCATATGTGCGTGGGGATAAAAATTGCATTGACACAGAAATATGTCAATGAAAATGGCTACAAAAAACATAGTAAACACGAGAGCATTAGAAAATTGCAATGGATCCTTTGGTCTAGGGGGGCAGAGTAAAAATACATCTAAAAATATTTTTTTAACCGATGAACGTTTGCCTTTTTGCTTAAAATAATTTTCATTTATATGGATTTTGTTGTTAAATTCAGGAAGTCTCGGTATTCAATAAATAAATTACTTGGGCAATTGATTGGAATGCTTAAAGGGGTTAGAGAAAATAGTAAATAAGCAATGATAGAAATTCATGATAATTTTAAATTGAAAAGTAACCTAAAATAAGTGACGAAATTCTACAGAAGTTCTAGCCGTTGCTCACACAAGAACAAATTATTTTGATAGCTGGCAGTATAAGAACGTAAACTTCAAGTCAAGTCAAAGTTACCAAGGGAAAGTAATCCCAACTTTTTCCCCAACCAATTTGCTATGACAGCCCAACTTTTGCTAACCTGGGAAAACCTTTAGGGCTTTTCATTTCAAGTATCAAGCGAAATTATAAACAAGCACATTTTATTTCAATTTTCGCGAACTAAAACAAATATTTTTGCACCCACAAAAAGTTTTGCTTCTGCGACAGGTAAAATTGTCAGACGAATTTCTGCAAAAGGAAACTTATGACGGGAAAATGAGAAATGGGGGATTCTGTGTGTCACATCAACTGTCAACAATCAACACCTTTTTCATTAAGCGCATTAGATGAGATGAGACAATGAGTGAGCATCTCCCCTCATCCGCCCTTTTTTCTAGACATTTGTTTTCCAATGAAAAGCGAAAAGAGGAAATGACAACGTGTGTTTGCTGAAAGAGCAAATAATCGTATAGTCGTTGACTTTGATGACTTTTTCTTAATTACAAGACCTGCTGCAGGGAGCCCAAAAAAGGGAAAATCGAGAGGCAGAAACTGAAAGTTCAGTGAGGCGGATATTTCGATAGTTGAGACTGAAGACGATATGAGCATATATGGCAGCTCATGGTGACTGCACCCAAATGTTATACACCATCAACCCCTTCCCAATTTTTTCCTTTTCCGACAAACTTTTTTGGGTTTCTTGTTTTGACAGCTGGATTTTCAAACTTTTTGTAGTGTGATCTGCACTATTTATTAATAGTTTTTAAATATGCACCAAATATTTAATCATTGATATGCATAAAAATTACATGCCATAAACATCAAATGTCAGAAGCAACAAATATAAAACTTCGCCGCAAACATTTGCCGCAAAATTTATGCCGCAATCGCTGTCCAACCTGACTGAAATGTTTATGTTAATAGTTAGTTATTCTAATAGACGATCCACCCTCGGAAAAAAACTGACCATTGTTGTTGTTTCCTTATGCAAATTTATACCATTTTTGAACGAGTTTTTTTTAGTCTGTTAGTTGTGAGTTAAATCTAATTTATGCAAAATTCAAAAACTGCCAACCGCTGGCAAAGCTCTCAAAGCTTTTCTGTGGCTTTTAGTTTTCAACACTCCAGCGAAGAAGAGGGGCGGTGCGGTTTTCGGGGCGGTTAGGTGGGTGTAACCACTTTAGTTTTTGGGCTGATTTTAATGACCCGACTCTACAAAATTTATGAGCGCTAAAAATTGAAATTACTTTTTTTCATTGACCATGAAAGGCGCGGCGGCTCGAGTTAAATAATTTATTTGGAGTTGGTTGACGGAAATGTTTGGAAGAACTTAAACTTAAGAAGGTGGAAATGGGAAAAGCGTTGGATGAAAGTTTTTGGCTGAAGAAGTCACCAGAGGTATTGTGGTATGAGTTGTGTATAGTTGGATAGATTAAGTGGATTTAAAAATGGAAAATGTTTTAAGCAATAAAAATGGTTTATTGCACTTTTTAATATTTCAATTAAATATTCTGAGAAAATTATATCATAAAATAAATTCACGATTGGTTGTTAATATAAATAACAAGAAAGGAAAGCTAACTTCGGGCGGAGCCGAAGTTGATATACCCTTGCAGAATACTCTGTAAATTATATTCTCCAAAATTATTCATATGATGCATTCTTAATACTCATAAAAAATCCCAACTTCCTAACTTTAAAAACACCAAAGTTATGGCATTTCCAATCGTTCAGTTATATGGCAGCTATAGGATATAGTCGGCCGATCCTTATGAAATTTGGTAGGTCGGATTGGCTGGCCAAATATAACACCCATAGAAAATCTCAACTTCCTAACTTTACAAACACCAAAGTTATGGCATTTCCGATCAATCAGTTATATGGCAGCTATAGGATATAGTCGGCCGATCCTTATGAAATTTGGTATGTCGGATTGATTGGCCAAATATAAAACCCATAGAAAATCCCAACTTCCTAACTTGACAAACACCAAAGTTATGGCATTTCCGATCAATCAGTTATATGGCAGCTATAGGATATAGCCGGCCGATCCCGGCCGTTCCGACTTATATACTGCGTGCAAAGGAAAGAAGGGTGTGTACAAAGTTTGAATTCGATATCTTTAAAACTGAGAGACTAGTTCGCGTAGAAACAGACAGACGGACAGACAGACGGACAGACGGACATGGCTATATCAACTGAGGAGGTGATCCTGATCAAGAATATATATACTTTATAGGGTCGGAGATGTCTCCTTCACTGCGTTGCACACTTTTGACCAAAATTATAATACCCTCTGCAAGGGTATAAAAACATGTACCTAAATTTTAAGACCTTAAGATTATTTAAAATTTATTATGATTTTTAAAGTCTATAGTCTCGTGTAACTGAAAATTTTATATTTAATCAGATTTTTTATTACCTTTAGCAACAAAAGCAGTATTAATTTAAGAACATGAGTGGTTCATTGAATATTTTCGATCTTTTTGGAACTCTTTGCTTTAAATCAGAAATTTTAGCATACCAATGAATGGTAACCTCTATATATGTATATATTTATATATCTATATTTTCATCTAAGAGTGCCACTCAAACTTAGCTCTTCTCCAATGCGAGTTTCCTCTGAATTTCGTGTGGGTGTGGCCCAAAAAAACTCTGCATGTTTTTCGCCAAGTTGGGAAAACGTCCTCCCCTGGTGACGCATAATTTGTGGGCGTGTCTAAGTGGGCGGATGCGGGACAGGGACAAAAGATTTCGGAGTCTGTGCTTGCCAAATGTTTCAACATTTGCAGCTTATTTCGTTTCATTTGTACCTAGTCACACCTACAGAAATTTCCCCCTTTTTCACCCATCATGCGTGGCATAACAAATTGCTACGGGAAGTTGAAAGGGAATGGGGTGAAGAAATTCCCTCTGTTGTTGTTTCTGGCATAAATAAACAATTCAATTCAATTTCTCAGCTTGTTTCTTCTGCATTGGAGCGTTGTCAACAAAAGGAGTTACAAACTGACTCACTTCCTATTCTCTACTCCGCCATCACGAATATATTTTGCATTTAAATGAGGACGACAGGCAAGGGTGCAGCAGCGAAGACGATGCGTAGGTGGAAATTATATGTAAGCTGGCTAAGAGAACTATAGTTTCAATGAGAGCCGGGCCGAAAGAAAAAAGATTTTAAAATGAATAAAACATATACTGAACAAAACATTTTTTTACAAATGAAAGCCACATATAAATGTCGATCATATATAAATTAGATAAAAGCTTATACATTAAATATATATCAAATTACCAAATGTAAAGCGAAATAAAAAACATTAGATACTATTGTTGTAGAAAATGGTAATGGATATAAAATATAGTAACAGACATTTTTTTGCACATTCAAAACTGTAAAATTACAGATTGAAGATTTGCTGTAGCTTCAGTCCCAAAAAACCTTAACCAAATTAATAATGAAACAAGAGAGAACGCTATAGTCGAGTGCCCCGACTATCAGATACCCGGTACTCAGGTAAAGGGAGTGCGAGGGAGATGGAGATAGAAACTTTGATCACGCATAACTTTTTAACGAATGGTCCGATTTGAAAAATTTCTTCTACATTTCGATAGGTATTGATAAACACAATAAAACTGCATTTTTACTTTTCCGAAATATTTAAATTTTTAAAATCGTATATAAGCGATTGTGGGCGTTAAAGGGGGCGTGGCACCTTTTTGAAACAAACTTGCGCTGCGTAGGAACTCCTAGAATCTGCATGCAAAATGCCAATCTTCTAGCTTTTAGAGTTTCCGAGATCTCAGCGTTCATACGGACAGACAGATAGATAGACAGACGGACAGACGGACATGGCTATATCGACTCGGCTCGTGACCCTGATCAAGAATATATATACTTTATAGGGTCGGAAACGCTTCCTTCTAGCTGTTACATACTTTTGCACGAATACAATATACCCTTTTACTCTACGAGTAACGGGTATAATTAATAACAACAAGAAAGGAAAGCTAGCTTCGGGCCGAGCCGAAGTTGATATACCCTTGCAGAATATGAAACCCATAGAAAATCCCAACTTCCTAACTTTAAAAACACCAAAGTTATGGCATTTCCGATCGTTCAGTTTTATGGCAGATATATGATATAGTCGCACGATCCGGCTCGTTCTGACTTATATACTACCTGCAATAGAAAGACAACTTTTGGGAAAGTTTCGAGCAGAAAGCTTTAAAACTGAGGGACTAGTTTGCGTAGAAACGGACGGACAGACGGACGGACAGACGGACATGGCTAGATCGACTCTCCTGGTGATGCTGATCAAGAATATATATACTTTATAGGGTCGGAAATGTCTCCTTCACTGCGTTGAAAACTTTTGACTGAAATTATTATACCCTCTGCAAGGGTATAAAAATAAATTTGATGTAAAGCAAAATATGCTTAATAAATTTCACCATTTTATCAATTTATTCTACGTAGTAATAAACTGTCGACTAATTTGAAGGTTTTTTTCCAGTGCAGCAATGGGGCTCGTGAGAAAGACTGATGCTAGCCACTATTCAGAACCGAAAAGTGCGTTCTGCATCTATGAATAATTCAGGGGACTAGTCGTGGCAACAATAATACTCGGCACATTAATGCAATGCGAACAACTCAAATGCAAACACAACCCACACACCACACAGATACTCACACGGACACACACACACGCAAACAGGGCCACCCCACACTGAACTTCCAGCTAACTGTTTCTCTCTGATAGTTTTGTAATGATCAAATTAAATGACTTTGCTTGGGTTTGGTCGGGTTTTCTGGTTCGGGGTTTCTGGTTTAGACAAAAGACTCCTTGGCCTGGCTTTGTGGGAATGATAATGAATTTATTTAAATGGCGCGTAATCAGACAGGCACAGACCAATTCAGAGAAGGATGGCGGAAGTTTAATGTGTGAGCTTGTGGTTGGGAATAGAAGGGGAAAACAGTATCTGTGTGTGTGGATTGCAATTGCTTTTAAAGCTTTGAGGAATTGTCAACCATTATGTTGGCCCTATCTCGGGCTCTCTAGCTCTGTCCACATACCTCCCTCCCTTCTCCGTCACCCACTTAGCCCTCTGGCAAACCGGAAGTTGTGTCCGATTAAGAGGAAGACCTGATTGGTTGTTGGTAAGCCGAGCTGGCAATTGTTGATAAAATGAGTTAATATATTCAATGTGTCAATTAGGGTACTTAACCAATTATTGATGATGATTTGATGTCAGAAACATATAGATTTAATTGTTACTAATAACGTTATTTAACATGAGTTATATAAATTAGTTCGCGGATTTAAACATCTAGTTAGTCTGTCATGGAAGCATCATATTTAAAAAATGTATCCGTAGTTTAATCAAACAAGCATTTTATTTAGTTGCTGATATATATTTATACCCCACAGGCAGCTTATTTATTTATTAGCCAATGAAAGATAGATTGCAATTAAGATACATTTAATGTAAATTCATTTTTAATATTTAATGGTAATTTAGATGACTGTCATTATCAAATGATAAATAATAAATTTATTGCACTTTTTATATATTGATATATATTTATATTAAATATTTATTTATAAAAAATTAGTTTAATGGATAAGGTAACTTCATCTTCTGGGAAGTGATTTTATTTTGAAGTGATTAATATTGCTCATTATTGCATTTGTCTTAGCTTTCTTCGCAAAAGCCATTCCAGCTAAGGACATTTCAGCCATGTTCATTAAGGCCAACTGGCCAAGGGGAAAGAAACCTTGCGAATTAAATGGGGCTTGGCTTTTGGAGTAAATGGCACAACAATCACAATCAGCTAATGTGTAGAGCCTAATGACCAAAAGTGGATCCCTAATAGGTTCTCGTCTCCTTTAATGTCCCACCACTCATATAAACACTAATGAATTTTTAAGGGAACATCAAAGCATCTCGGGTTAATTAGGACGAACCTAATTAAATCTAAATTCATATTTAATAACCATTCTCCCCGTTCTGACTCGTTGCAGGTGCTCACGTTCCTGATTGACTCGTCGCGTTTTCGGTACCCAGAACGGGCCATCGTCTTTCTGGCCGTCTGCTACCTGGTAGTTGGATGTGCCTACGTGGCGGGATTGGGGGCGGGTGACTCCGTCTCGTGCCGGGAACCATTTCCGCCGCCCGTCAAGCTCGGGCGCTTGCAGATGATGTCCACCATCACCCAGGTGAGATGACCCGGCAGAAGCATTTCTGCAGTGCCTGGAAACCAGTACTCACTAATTTTTAATGCCACCGAAGGGGCAACTTTGTATGCTGCAGGCGATGGGCAGATAGGAGAAGAATCGCTGTTGTTACATTTTTAACAGAAGCTTGTGCTATTACTAAATTCTAGAGTTTTGTATAAAAAAAGTTATAAATAAAAAATAATTACTTACCATTTTTAAATATATATGCGAAAATGGAATAAATAGTACATGCAATTTTTATTTTATTAATAGCCTCTGAGTAGTTATTTCCAAATAATTAAACAATTTTCGATCAAAAATAGCATATTCATTTAAAGTCTTGATAAATATAAACGAATTTTGTGTTTATATAAATACGCTTACAGTAATAGAAACAGAAAAAAAATTGTCTTGTTCTTCTACAAAAGTATTTTAAAATGCAGTGCTTCAGAAACCTTTTCCGAACAAATTTGGTTACAACGTTTATGGATTCCAACAGAATTAGGTTGAGATAACACTCCTTCTATAAGTGTTTTTAAATATTTTTATATTCCAACGTACAACACAACGCACTTCTTTTTTACAGATTTCATTTATTTTAAATCCATTATTTGTGGTTCACGAAAGTTGCATACCTTCGAGGGTATTGAAAGCTTTGACCTTTCAGTCTGGCCTTCAATTAATTGTAATTTTATTGACCGACTTTTCTTCTTTTTCCGACAGGGCCACCGCCAGACCACGTCCTGTACGGTTTTATTCATGGCACTCTACTTTTGCTGCATGGCGGCCTTTGCGTGGTGGTCGTGCCTGGCATTCGCCTGGTTTTTGGCCGCCGGCCTCAAATGGGGCCACGAGGCGATTGAGAACAAGTCGCACTTATTCCACCTGGTTGCCTGGGCGGTTCCCGCCCTCCAGACCATCTCCGTGCTGGCCCTGGCCAAAGTTGAAGGTAAGTCGGGTTGGGATCCAGGCAGGATTATTATCGATTAGCCACCAATGCGACCTTGATCCGGTGGCGCATTAATCTCCCTGAGTCCACATCAATTTCTATCACACACTCCGCCCAAAGACTTAACTCCACCGGCGCTGCGGTTTCGGGCAATTTCAACGCGTAAGACGAAACCGTCATTAGACATCATTTGTGGCATTAACTGTATCTATTTCTCGGGGTTGAGGCCCGGTTGCTATCAGGCAGCCTGAAAAAGCTATTAGAAACTTAAGAAAAACCAACAAAAAATTAAAGAGACAGCAGACGAAACAGTGGCCTTGCATGATGTAAAAAGTCTTTAAATGTTAGGTGAAAGGAAAGTAGAGAAAACTTGACTATCTTGTTTCAAGGAACTACACAGAACATTTGAATATAAATTAAAATTTAAATTGGAGTACCAAGACAGATCTTTTGCTTTTAAAAAAGTTTAAAAATATTAAAGTGTATAAAGTTAATAAAAGTAATCACTTCATAATTATTTCGAACCACTGTTCGAATGCGTGTGCCGCCCAGCCATTTTGTGGTTCATTTGAGAATGGGGTCTCGGGTTGGGCTCTGTTGTTTGGGTCTGGATACTGAGATACTTTCAGTGGGTTCTAATGCGGCTGTCCGCGATTTCTAAACAATTTAATGACCTACGTGGTCGCGGGCAGACACGAAATAAATCTTGACGGGCAACAAAAATGTAAAACTCGGAGGGAAAAAAGACGACGGTCTGAAAACGGTCACGTTAAAAGGCCGTAAAAATTGGTGGACTCCGGATGAGTTCCCTCTTTTTCGGACTCCCAAGTCAAAGAACAAGACCAAAACTAATTCGCTTAACGCGCTGACTCTAAGCCAACTTAGAGGCTTTTTCGTCGTTGCCCATTGCCTGGCGCATTTCACATTTTTGGGCTTAATTAGATTGCGGCTTAATGACTCAATTGTGTTTGCCAGGCTCCTGTGCTTGCCGTCTCTTTCACCCAACTTTCATTCCTCTCTTTCTATACCCGCACAATTTCCAATACGACCAGACGGTAGTAATTAAATACAGCAGCACATGATTATGGCTTGTTAGGCAAATCGAATGAAAGTCATAGACAATTTGGAGGGGTCGTCGAGTGGGAGGGAGCATCCCTGTTGATGGGCACTTATGCCCAGCATTAACTGGGTCTACTTAATGCCCGGCTGCGTAATTGGAGGGAGTGAGTGAGGCTAGGTGCCAGCTTTACACTGGATTAGTGCTGCATTGTGGTAAACTGGCCTGCGAACTAGACGACTTCACTTCATATCCTGGGAATTGCCAGGCCACGAGTGAACGAATTAGATAAGCCAATCAATGCAAAGGCTTAGCTTAAGTAACTGGTTAAGTACTGGTCGAATTATTGATGTATTAAATGAATTTCAACAAAAATCCTAAAAGAAAATCGCAAATCTCCGCTTATCTTTATTATTTAGCAACCATTTTTCACAACTTTGAATCTCAATTTCCACATCAGACTTCCCCTTCCCACAGTTGCTCGGCGATGAAAAAATGTTCAATTGCTTAACAAATATAATCAAAATTTTTCACTCTGGCCTAAGCGAACACAAACACTTAGAGAGACTCGCTAATGCATGCAAAATGCCAAGAGCCATAAAAAACGTATTTTCCCCTCATCGCGTCTTATATAAAAACATTAAGGTCCCAGGCAGCGGAAAAACGATTTATGGGAAAACTCTCCGAAAAAAATTAAAATAAAATGATGACTTAATGCACTGCAAGCGACCAGCGAAAATTGTGTTGTTGTAAGGGGCACTCCTTGAGATGGTTCGCCAAGAAAATAACAGTAAATGGAAAGGAACAGGCGCAGCAGTTTGGTGCACTGAGAATAATATTCGATTTATATTGTACATACATTTTTTGGAACTGAAACATTCCTAAAACAAATAAGTCAAATGCTTGTTTTCTTATTTAATATTTAATATTGCTATTAATTTGGATATATTAATGTTAATAAAGGAGTTGTCTGTTTAGTCAAGTTGATATTTTTCCAATATTTTTCAAACTGAAATTTTACTATTTTAAATATTTTATTGGATTCTCTAATTTGTGCGTTTTTAAGTCAGCTTATCTTACAACACATTGATTTTCCTTAACTCTTTCCAGACAATCTGCTTTTAAAGTGTGTACATATATTTTTATAGTGGGGAAAATGTGAAACCAAATTCAAATTCCCAGCTATTTTTTTCCCAGTGTAGCAGTCCATTCAGAAACCATTCAACGGCAATTAATGTTAAATTTAAAAATACATTATTTTAATGTGTCGTCAGTTGGAGTATGCCAGCGTAAGAGAAAGAGGACAGTTGTTGCTTGGGCGTTGATGATGGCGGTAGACATTTACAACAACTGCGAAATACAAAAACATCGACTGCTTTTGGGTAAACAATGTCTGAACAGAAACGCTCGAGGCGGGAAGCTTGGAAGCTCTGGCCGCCGGCTACGTGCATTGAATCCGTAATTTGCACACGTTCGTTGCAAACATTGAATAATGCTCACAGATATACCCCCCGAAAATCCCGCCTCCTCCTGCCACTCCCCTTTAAACACTTCGGGCCAAGTAAATATCAGACAGGATCTAACGGGGGCCAAAAGGGGAAGCTAACAATTTGTATTGACTTGACAACGCGTTGGCAGCTCATTTGATGGATTTCCCCCTCCCACAAACAGGGATTCGGAGGAAAACAAGAGACTGGCCATGAATCACCTGCCCACCACCTGTGAATGTCCAGTTCCGTAGGGATTCCATTTTGCTTTGTGCTGCGAATATTAAACGAACTAAAATGGTCTGCATTTTGATTTTTGGACCTGGCACATATGAACAAGTAGGCTTCAAAATTGTCAAATTGTTTGAGACTTTTTAAGTTTGCATTTACGGGACTCCAGAAAGAAAAATTGAAAGCAAATATTAAAGTTAATTAAAAATAGCTTAGCTAGTAAGTATTACTTAATATAAACTGTTTTTATACACCTTTCCAAGAGCACTAAACAATTTATAATTATTTATTATTATTTTCCTAAAAACTCCAAAGTTAATCAATCAAATTTAATAATATGGAAAAAGCTTTAAGAATTAAAATCTATTGGTTATTCTCTCCTTTTTAAACCACAAAAATCTTAAGTATACTTCAAAATAGAAAAACCAACCCAAAGGCAACAATTTGCTTTACTTGTCTAGAATTTATTAGCATTTTGTAGACACGCTCAACAATTATTTTTCATTTATAAGAACGTAAACAAGAAAGGAAAGCTAACTTCGGGCGGAGCCGAAGTTGATATACCCTTGCAGAATACTCTGTAAATTATATTCTCCAAAATTATTCATATGATGCATTCTTAATACTCATAAAAAATCCCAACTTCCTAACTTTAAAAACACCAAAGTTATGACATTTCCAATCGTTCAGTTATATGTCAGCTATAGGATATAATCGGCCGATCCTTATGAAATTCGGCATGTCGGATTGATTAGCCAAATATAAAACCCATAGAAAATCCCAACATTCTAACTTTACAAACACCAAAGTTATGGCATTTCCGATCAATCAGTTATATGGCAGCTATAGGATATAGTCGGCCGATCCTTATGAAATTCGGCATGTCGGATTGATTAGCCAAATATAAAACCCATAGAAAATCCCAACATTCTAACTTAACAAACACCAAAGTTATGGCATTTCCGATCAATCAGTTATATGGAAGCTATAGGATATAGTCGGCCGATCCTTATGAAATTCGGCATGTCGGATTGATTAGCCAAATACAAAACCCATAGAAAATCCCATCTTCCTAACTTTACAAACACCAAAGTTATGGCATTTCCGATCGTTCAGTTATATGGCAGCTATAGGATATAGTCGGCCGATCCCGGCCGTTCCGACTTATATACTGCGTGCAAAGGAAAGAAGGGTGTGTGCAAAGTTTCAATTCGATATCTTTAAAACTGAGAGACTAGTTCGCGTAGAAACAGACAGACGGACAGACAGACGGACAGACAGACGGACAGACGGACAGACGGACAGACGGACAGACGGACATGGCTATATCAACTCAGGAGGTGATCCTGATCAAGAATATATATACTTTATAGGGTCGGAGATGTCTCCTTCACTGCGTTGCACACTTTTGACCAAAATTATAATACCCTCTGCAAGGGTATAAAAACGAACGAACCCAGAAAATATGCAAATTAACAGAAACAGAAAGAGACGCAAGCAAGGCAGAGCAAAGGAAAATTAACAATTTGTTGCGCTTTTGCGAAATTATATGCCTGGCAGTCGTAAGTCCGTTGAAGAGGCTTCTTTGCTTGCCTTTTTATACCCTTGCAGAGGGTATTATAATTTTGGTCAAAAGTGTGCAACGCAGTGAAGGAGACATCTTTGACCCTATAAAGTATATATATTCTTGATCAGGATCACCTCCTGAGTTGATATAGCCATGTCCGTCTGTCCGTCTGTCCGTCTGTCCGTCTGTCCGTCTGTCCGTCTGTCCGTCTGTCTGTCCGTCTGTCTGTTTCTACGCAAACTAGTCTCTCAGTTTTAAAGCTATCGAATTGAAACTTTGCACACACCCTTCTTTCCTTTGCACGCAGTATATAAGTCGGAACGGCCGGGATCGGCCGACTATATCCTATAGCTGCCATATAACTGATTGATCGGAAATGCCATAACTTTGGTGTTTGTAAAGTTAGGAAGTTGGGATTTTATATGGGTGTTATACTTGGCCAATCAATCCGACCTACCAAATTTCATAAGGATCGGCCGACTATATCCTATAGCTGCCATATAACTGATTGATCGGAAATGCCATAACTTTGGTGTTTGTAAAGTTAGGAAGCTGGGATTTTCTATGGGTTTTATATTTGGCCAATCAATCCGACCTACCAAATAACATAAGGATCGGCCGACTATATCTTATAGCCGCCATATATCTGATTGATCGG